GATTAGGTATTCTTTGGTCTTCTTGTTCTTCAGCTTCTTTTCTTTCATCTGTTCTAGCTTGCTTGCATGTGATCTTAACTTGCTGATCTTATTTTCTAGTCTAACCTTCCATTTTTCTGATGCACTGTTTGTTTGTTTTTTTTTGTTGATTTTGCATCCCAGGTATTCTGTTATAACTGCAGCTGTGCTGTACATTAGTTGGTTTGTTTCTTGCAGTGAATTGGTGCTTATACTTGATATTGCAGTATTTGCATCTTTTAATGCTTGTGCTAGCTGTTTCTTTGGAACAAGCTTCAATGCAGGTAGCTTTATTCTGTTGTTTTTGTGCTGTTCTAGATGCTCAGTTATTCTTTGTTTCAATTCTTTTATTTCTTTAGTTAGAGGGTTTTGTTCTTCCTGAGGAAGAGGTGCCTGCTTTCCAAATAAGAACAGTTGTATATCTCTGCTGGATTCCTTCACTACTAACTCCCCCTGATTTGCCTCTACATTCTGAATTACTTCTGGTAAGGCTTTGATTTCTTTGCCTTGGGTAAACCTTTGCAGTTCGTCCAATTCTGTTTCTGTGAATACTTTATTTCGTGTTATAAATCGGCGTTGATCTGCTAGTCTCTGTTCTGTTATTTCTGATTCTGGATGTTGTTCTTTCCAGAATTGGTGCATTCGTTTTAGATATCCTCTTCTTGTTGGACTTGATCTGTAGTAACAGATCATTATTTCTTTGTTTTCCATCACTGTGTATCTGCGACGGGTAAACACCTTTTCTTCCAGTAGTTCTGCAGCTGCTGGCCCTGGTTGCTCAGCCAACAGTCCTGAGTCCTGTAACCCATTTTTCACCAGATATCCAGGAACTCCAATATCTAGTGCAGACCTTGTTAACCCGGGCGACGTCCGAGCCGGTATGGCATTCTGAAATTTACGTCTCACCATATTTTTTATGGGAGAGACACTCTTTGTCTGACTCCTCTGATGAGACCTGTCCAGTATGGTTGAACCTCTGGCATAGCTCTCATCTTCCTCAGAGTACACAAGCCCCACAACCACGTCAAGGTAGTGCCTCACTGGGGGATTATTATTATTATTATTATTATTATTATTATTATTATTATTATTATTATTATAGTGTCAGCTATAGGTAGTTCTCGACTTATTATAACTTGCTTAGCAACCGTTTGAAATTACAGGCTTTCTGAAAAAGGGCAATAACCAAAATTCCTGCAGTTGCTCCCTCCCTCTGGTCACCTGACTGCACTTTGGGTGCTCAACACTGCAGTCATGTACCCACACTTTACAACTGTTTTACCAAAAGCTGACAGTTACTTCCACTTTTCAACATAACTGCCTGATAGTAATGATCGTTGTTTGCCTAACAAACACTGCAAAAAATGTAAAATTGAGTTGGTTACATCAGGCACCCCCAACCCTTGGGCCATGGCCCAATGCTGTACCATGGTATGTTCAGAACTGAGCCATCGCAGTGGTGGCAAGTGTGTGCATGACTCTGCATTTGTGAAAGTGGCGCATGCACACAGTCATTCCCTCTCCCCCTGCTGCTGCTTCTGCCTATCTGCCGATCCAGAAAGGTTGGAGACTGCTGGGTTACATGACCAACCCATTTCAGAACCATTACAACTTACAATTCTAATGGGCAGGCTCCATTATGGTTATAATTTGAGAAGTAATTGTATTGAGTGTAAATCTACCTCCATATGAATGAGAATGGATTGCACAGAACATTGCCAACCCTCTTCTGGTTGCTCAGCAATCACAATCATCCTGTTTTTCCAGAAAGCAGGGCCAGTTTAAGAAATTTGGAAGGTCGTAGTAATGGAATACATTTGAAGTAATCACCTAAACACTCAGTCCTACATTAATATCAGTGGATTCCTACAAAATGAGATATGTATTCAGAATGGAATATCCAGAGAATAACCTAAGATTATCTAGACCAGGTATGTCAAACTCACAACATCACGTGACGTGTTGTGATGTATCATGACTTTTTTTCCATTGTTGGCAATGGGGTGGGCGCAGTGTCATGCCTCCGTTGCAGCCTGACTCTGAGGAAGACATGGAGTTCTCTGTTGAGGCCCAGGAGGGGGTGTCTGTGGCTTCGGAGGACCGTAGGGAGGAGCAGGCTGAGGCAGGCCAGGGCCCTTCAGGTTTGGAACAGGGAAGACAAAGTTCAGGCGAGGAGCAAGGCCCCTCCCCACCTGATCCTAGAAAATGGAGAGCAGAGAGGAAGAGAGAACAACGGAGGCAGGCTCACTTGCTTTGAAGGAGACTGTCCTGCCCCACTCCACAAGACACACCTGGAGATTAGGATTTAAGGAGACACTGTGGGGTGGGGCATTTGTCAAGAACAAACGTGGGATCTTGAGATTGTTGTGACTTGTGCTCTTGTAACCTGGACACTTTGTATTCCGACTAGTTTGTTTCCTGCTTCACCACCACAGACTACCTTCCTGATCTCTCCTTGCAGTCTGCAGTTGGCAGTTCACAGGCAAGCTAAGAGTTAGAAGGATTCTTTATGTTTTCTTGTTATCTGTCTTGCCTTGAGAACAGTGTAAACTTCCCTGGCTGTATTGTTTGAACTCGTGCCAGCATATGTGGGAGCTTTTAGGTGAACATTGGCAGTGATTAAAAGACTGTTGCTCTTACCAGCTGACTGCTTTGCCTCTGTTTGGGGCCCTGGGTCATCACAGGCACAGTTTTGCCATGATGCATCCAGACCACAGGCCAACAGTTTGACACCCTGATCTAGACTTATATTGGACACACTATACAATAAAATCCTTCTCAGGAAAATGACCTGCATTGGCCTGCCTAACACTGAGCCACATTGGCAAATGGGTCAAAAAATCCACTATCCCAATCTGAAGTAGCCAGAGGCAGCTGACCTTCCAGGAAATCTCATTGGTTTGAGATAAACACAAGAAGCTCTCTCATGATCAGAATGATGGACAGACTGTTGTAGTTTTGCCCCATCTTTCTACTGTTCCAGGTCCAGTGCACCTATATATATCATGGTCCCATTTACCCTTTAAACTAGGCCTGAAAGAAAGCATACATACTATTATGCTTCAGGCAAATTTAATTAATTTCCTAAAAAACATCAAGGCTCCATGGTATGTAATATAACCATTATTGTGCTAAATTACTTAATATTTCTCACAGTGCAATTCTGTAATTAATTAGAATTTTGCACTTAGAATAATGTTAAGTGAATGGCTTGAGCATAAATTCCATAATTCCTTTCAATAATTCTTTGGGGTGGAAGAAAAACACTCTACAGTATGAATGGAATTTTTTTTTTTTTCCAATTCCAGATTTTTATAGTAACAGCAACACCTGCTGGAAAAAGTTGGAAAGATAAAAAAAAAACAGGGTTGGGGGGGGTCCCGTTTCTGAAGAAAGATGGCAGAGAGAAACCTTCAAGTATTGTCAAAGGAGGCAAAAGCCACGGCTTATCTGAAAGACCATTTGCAAGAGAGATATAACTCTGTATGGAAAAGATGGGTAAATTTTGTTCAGAATAAATATGGGATTAGAAAGTATTATTTAGCTTTCGAATAACTTATTGTGTAAAGTTGTTACGGTTAGATTTGTTGATTTTATTGTAATGGAGTTAAAGGGGTTCTTAAATTTTTTAGGATTTATGTATAATTGATTGATGCTTATTTAAATTTTTATGTTCTTTTTTTGTTGTTTTTAGCTCTGTATTCAGCTCTGGGAAGGGGCGGAGGGTTAATGGGAGGGGGGAGGGAGAGAGGTGGGGAGGGATTTTATTGTAAAAAGTTTATAAAAATTTTAATAAAAAAAAGGAGGCAAAAGCCACAGCATAGCAAGAAGAAGCAACTATGTATGATCTTTCTTCTGCTCTTTCCCTCAGCAATCCAGCATCTGCGGAAGTCGATAAGGAGGAAGCTGTGACCCCTTCCAAAGGAACATTGCCAAGGCCTCAAAGAATCTGGAATAAATCTCCACTTCTGTTTGAGCAGAACTATATTCTCTTTAACCCCCACAAAGCAAACACTCTGCAAGAATGGCAGTTGAGTTTCCTGTAACTTGTAAAGGCATCAGCCAATTTTGAAAGAGGGGCCAGAGGAACATCATCCAGAGTTGCTGCGTTTCATTTCTAGGACTTAATGCTAACATGCTGGACGGTTTACTGGATCATGCAAACAACAAAAAGACAGAAAAAACACGTTGTCACTCCCCCTTCCTTTGCTTCAGTCTGCAAAACAGCCATTGTGGCTAAAGTTTACTACTTTACCAGGACAGCAAACACCAGACATCCTTGTGGAATACCCTCCCCTGACCATTAGGTAGGTCAGACCCCAACATTTTTAGCCTCCCGGAAGGCCATCAAAATCTGGCTCTTTACCCAGGCCAGTGATGGCAAACCTTTTAGAGACCGAGTGCCCAAACTGCAACCCAAAACCCACTTATGCATTGTTGGGTGCCAGGTGGGTGTGGCCCATTGGGTGTTCATGGCTATGGTAGTAACAACAGACTGGATGGGACTAAAAAGTTTGATCAATCAATTCCAACATTGCAATATCTTTTTTTTCCCCACGAGATGTTGAAATTGACTGATTGATTGAACCTTTAGATCTAAAACGAAAAGGTTTTATAAACCTAGCTATAAAGACCTAGGACTGGGGTGATGGCATGGGTACCCACAGAGATGGCTCTGAGTGCCGCCTCTGGCACCCATGCCATAGGTTCACCACCACTGACCCAGGCGCTAGGGTATATGGACAGGAATCTCTGGATGGTATGGAAGCATCCTAGGAAGATGACTAAGACGCAGGGGTTTAAGTTCAGCTGCCCCTGCCCCAGGGGCTACCTGCAAAAATCCAGAGGATTTCTAAATGGCACTAAAGATCCCTTTGTTATTATTTAATGATCAACTGGCTTTTTGCAGGAAACGTGCTATCTGCCTCGCTTCCCTAGTGAGACCACTAGACGAGAGGAGGAAGCCGATAAGATCGCAAGCATGAAAACAGCTTCCCCTCTAAGCTTCGGGGGACAGCGCATAAGCTCAATGGACCATGCGCCCCTTGCCAGGTAAGAAGAGTCGATACCTGCAATGCGCATGCTCAGTCCGAAGACCCGCAAAGGCCCGAAGGCCCGTAGAGGCGCAGGAAGAAGGAACGGCAGGGTTTGTCCTTCTGCGGCCCCCGTACTACGCCAGCGACATGGCGGAATATTCCTGCGTTAAGAAAACAAAACTGGTTCTTAAGGGGGCGAAATCGAAAAGGTGAATGTATTATTCTTCAGGGCTGTGGAGTGGCGAAAGAGATGATGGGTTTTTCCCTTTTCCTCCAGAAAGTGTAGTTGATATATTTGCCTGGGATGCGGTTTGTAGTGCTTACCCTGAAATAATGATTAAATGCCTCTGAGCATACGCAAATGTTCTTCCCTCGCTTTTGAGAAAAATCTCATGCAGCAGGGATTAAAGAAGGCTGTGTCGTTTTCAACAAATTTTAAAATCTGGTGTATTTTTTTAACTACAATTTTTAAACTGTAAAAAAAAATGCAATTAACGCTGCCTTTAAAGGGGGATTTAATAATACTTTTCGTATCCTTCAATTTGTGTGTTTGTGTGTGTAATTTTGAGTCAATCTTTTGATTCATAGCGACTGACCGCCTGGACTAATCCCTGAAGTTTTCTTGGCAAGATTTTTCAGAAGTGACTGCCTCCTTCCTAGGTCTGAGAGAAAGTGGCTGTCTGAAGGTCACCCAGTTGGCTTCTAGTCTAAGGCAGTACTAGAATTCCGCAGTTTTCCAGTTTTCTAGCCTGGTGCCTTAACTGCTACATCAGACTAGTTCTCCTAAATCAGATTTTAGCTCAAAAGAGAGCACGGTACTGCTTAAGTTTTAGTAGAGGTTAAATTCAGCCAACTACTTTTTATAGCCTTTTGTTAAGTAAACTATAGTTAATTACATTGGAGTTCTTTTTGCTCCTAATTTGTTTTTGGTTATATTTTGGCAATAGAAATGAAATTTGCATTATTGATAAACCTAAGCCATTGTCTAGTGGTCTATATTTAGGACAGTAAACGCTTGACTAAGGCTAGGATATAAAGACCTCTGTATAATGGATTATTCTGCTATTTTATGTATAGTTTCAAAAAAAACCAGGATAGATTTATAATATATAGCCTTTCTCTTTACATGTAAGATTCTGGGGAACACTGATATTTAAGCAAGAACAATTCAGAAAGGATTTGGGAAGTTGTGCCTCTAGATAAAAAAATTAGTTAATTAGTTCTAAATTTCAGCATTTATCTTGGACATGTGCTTGCTATTCTGTTGAGTATTGTCATTTAAGAAAGAAATGTGCAATAGTAAATTGGTTAGTATTACCTATTGCATGCAAATGTCCACTTTTCTTTCAGTAAGAAAAAAAATAAAGATAAAAAACGTAAAAGAGAAGAGGATATAGAAGCTCAGCTTGATATAGTTGGTAAGTGATTTTTTTATGGAAAAATATTATGGGAATTCTTAATTAAGGACCAAAGAAAGATTAATGTTTAAATAAATTTGAAATTCTAGCTGATTGGGACATACCTCCCTCTCTTAAACAGTTAATATATCATGTTTTGTGGTTGATTTTAATAATAGAACATAAGCCTTTTAGGAGTCTCAGCATAATGAAAATAGTCACAGAACTGTGTCTATACTTTCCATATTTTATGATAACTTTATGAGTATAACAATCACAGCATTTTATTGTAATTCTCAATACTTCAAGCTATCTAATTTATGAACTTAGACATGTAGTCCACAGCTAGCAATAGTAAATATGATCCTTCATGTTTATTTATTTCAGCTGTTGTGGCAAGAGAATTTCTACATCTAAAGCTAAACACTTCGTTACTAGATTATAAAATGATAAAGAAGAATAGATACAGGGAAATATCTTTTTGTGGCCTCCCATAGATTTGCAATCTAAATCTGATATCCCATAAAGAACTTAATGTGTTTAACTGAGGCTGTTGATTAACTGCTGTGATTAGGCATTAGCTTTGATCTCTCCTTAAAATAAATTGTTACAAAAGAAAACTGTTGCTTGATATTTCCAAAATCTTTCCCTAAACAATTATAATCCCTTACATTTTAAGAAATAGAGACCAACTCTTTTATTGTTGTGTTGTTGTTTTCTCTTATGTTAGAAGGCTGGTGGACGGTAACCAATTTTGGTGAAATCACAGGAACTGTAGCAATAGAGATGGGTTTTGGAACCTATATCAGTGCTCTTGATAATGGCCTCTTTACTCTTGGAGCTCCACATAAAGGTTGGTATCACATCTATGTATGTTAAGAGTAATCATTCTGTTTTTCCCAGTGATACCAAATGTATGATAAATTAATCTTACAAACACAGCCAAAGTAGTGTCCAGATTGCTACCTGCATTTAACATGCCAGTTGCATCAAAAGAGTACAGAACCAAGTACAGATAGAGCTTGATATTACCACAATTGGGGCTGATGGTATGTGGCACATACCATCATAAAATGGGATGTTATGTGCCACATTGCTTAGCAACAGCAATCCTGGCAGTCTCTGTTGCTATCATTAACCAAATTCCATCAGTCGTTAGCCCAAACCCATCCTGATCTAAGCCATTCCCAGCTTGGTTCCTCCTAGCCCCCTTTTTCTTCCAAAGTAAGGGAATGCCTTCCTTTTAATTCCTTACAGCTGGCTACCACCACCACCCCAACTCTCCCCTTTTGGCCACCCCACATCCTGCCTTTTTAGGTAGGTGCCAAATTTGTGTTTATATATCTCATGATGCAAAACCAGTCCTATTTGTTATTGTTATAAATTATAGAGAGGTATAGGTAGTGAAAAATATCAGAAAAAATAAACTTTTAATTTCCTAATGTCCTTAGTGAATTCTCTGAGTCTTTTGTATCAGTAATTGTTAAATAATTCTCCAGCTCGCAGCAGCTACTAAACTATTTAAAGCCAAAGTTCTAGATTGAATGCTACATGGTGCTCAGGTATATATCCATAAGGAATTTAAAAGCAATTCAGTGACAGTTCTTGGAAATCCTGCCACTGGTTCCTTATTCAATTTCCAATTCTCTAACTCTACTGGAATTAGGCTGCATTTCCCTTGGAGTCTGATTAACTTTGCTGTCTTTAGTTCTGGCTGAAGCAAGTCTGGGGAGCTTCCTTAGGCCATCTCATCTTAGGCTCAGTTCCACCTAAGAGAACAAATGATTGATGGTTTGGCATACCATAGACTCACTTTGTCAGCATTATCTGCCTTGTGACTTGTGAGAAGATTTGAGAATTTAGAGATCCAAAATGACAGAGCCAATGTCATATCTCATTCCCTTTATAGCACAATTGCTTCTCCTCCCTGGACTGTCGCTTGATACTTCTTTAACATGTTATGTAGTCTACATAGGAGACTATTTATTTTGCCCCAGATTGCGATGTTGCCTAGTACGGCAACAATTGGTAGATATATAAGTCTCCCATTTGAAAGCCAGACTTGTTTCTTTTCAGACTTGGAGGTAGAATTTGTTTGATATGAGCTATAAAAAATGCCTGTTGAACACTGAATTTTGATCATACTTTGTATTTCCAATTGTTAACATTTCTAATTGCCATTACATCTAGGAGACCATTCCCTTTTCCTGGGTGGTCACTCTTCAGAAACCTCAAAGATATTTGACAAATTTTTATTAGTACTTACAAACCATCTGTTCCTCCATAATTTTATTTATTTAGAATTTTTATCCCACTTTATTATTATAAATCTCAAGAACATACCTAATACTAACATACCTAATACTACTACTCCTAATTTTCTCACAGCCACAACCTTGTGAGGTGGGTTGGGCTAAGAGAGAGTTACTGCCCCAAAGTCACCTAGCTGGCTTTCATGCCTAAGGTGGGACTGGAACTCAGTTTCCTGATTTCTGTCCTGGTGCTTTAACAACAACACCACTGGCTCTCTATAAGTAATTCATGGTGACAAACATGCCTAATACTCTTTCCTCCTCTTATTTTCCCCACAGCCATAAACTGTTCTGTTTTCTAGCCTAGTGCTTTAACTGGTAAATTTAACTTTAAATTCGTAGCCATTGACTGCTAGACATTTTTCATTTTTTTAAATTCCTTTTTATAATTAACTGTATTGCTAGTCTTTTTCTTGTTTTCGGCCTTAGATGGTAAATAAATTTTGATTGAATTCTCCAACTATAATAAACATGTCTATTAAAAAAAAATAGATGAAGGCCCTAGTCCTCCTGAACAATTCACTGCAATCAAGCTGTCAGATACAAGGTAATTTTTCTCTTGAAGTTTGAATTAATATAAGATTACCACATTTAGATTGTATTATCTCTCCCTAGATGGCTTTTATAAGCATAGTTTAGAAATAATATTCCCCTCTAAGAAATTAACATATATCAGTTTTATATATGTCCATGGGAGTTACAGAATCATTGCATGTGCACATTGAAATAACATATGAAGGTGTTTTTTGATTGTAGATTTAGATTGGTGATGTGCTTATTTATGTTGTCATAGTTGTTCTGGATTTCCTTGTAGTTTAAATCTATTGTCATTTGTATCTGTTGTAACATTGCATACATTTCCTCTTGGAAAGTACCCAGAAAATGATGGCGAATGAACAGACAAATCAGATAACAGAATATAAATTGGAAGAACATTGTCATATCGACGAAGCTACAAATGAAAAGAATTATAATCCGAAACTAATATGAAAAAATCTACAAGACTTTGATATAACAATAAAAATGGAGCAGACTATAGAATTCCCAGGAGAATTATTAGAGTTTGGGAGACAGAAAGTATATTTCCTACCTATTCTATATTCTGTATTCCCAACAATACTTGCAAAAACACAGGAACTGCCGGGTAAGCAGAATATATCAACTTGAAAAGCTATTCGGCATAAGAAGAAGGCTATTCAAGAGATTTGACTCGCTCTACCAGATGGAGTATTACATGAGTAAACACTTGTTTGAATGTGGTTAAAAGAATAGAGAACTTTGAACATAAAGGGCCCTATAACAAGAGGGATAAGAGATTTAAGTAATATAGTATGTTTTACAATATATGAAATGTAAAAATATTGGGATGATGTACCTTTTATAAATATAAGTGGATCAGAAAGGATGTTATACCCAGATGTTATAAGATAGATAAGAAGCACAGTAATTTTATAATACATGAAATATGAAAATATTGGGGTGGTGTATTTAAATGGAAAAATTTGGATATCTAGATGATTAACATTGAGGAAAACCATGACTGATAAGAATGAATTGAATAAAAGGGGAAATTAAGCATAAACAAAAATCACAAAAATAGGATGCATGGTGAACTAATGAGATGATGGTTATAAGAATAATATAAACTATAAAAAATGTTATACATAGATGTTATCACTATTTGTATAAATATGTAAAAATGTCTATATTTAATCATTTATATATTGAAAATATAAGAATTATATTTGTTTAAGGTTGAAGAAGAAAAATACAAATGGGAGAAGGGAAGATCAAGGAAACAATAATTAATATACTAATTATGGAATTATAAAATTTAATCATTATTGACTGTTAGTTAATTATTGTGGGGGGTTTTGTTTTTGTTTTTGCTTTTTCTTTCTCAAATATATAAACCAAGATAACATGCTGTACACCAGGCACTGGAGATTGTTATTGTTAAAAACTAATAAAAGTTGTTGTTTTTTTAAAGAAATAACACATGAAGGAGATCCTATAGGTTAGGTTCACTGCTAAGAAATATCAGTTGTGCAGTTTCTGCACATGTAGGATGTATACATAGAGGTTTCCCACATGAAAGGAAAACAAAGATTATATGAACTATAGCCCCTTCAGACTCATTCAGATCATGCAATGGCTGGTTTGATATGTCATCAGGGGAAAGAAGGTTAGCCTACATAACTTCCTCTTCTAGCCCATTTCCATATGCTCATGTTCTGTTTGGAAAGAATGATAACACCTTTCCTCATACAATTTGCATACGATAAGAATACTTGCATTATTGTTTTACCTTGTATATTCTGTTTCTGCTAGAAATAGGAAAATTGGGTTTAAGAACTTACAAAGGTCAATGTAAGATCAAATCATGGTCTTAAATTGACCATTCTAAGTTCTTAAACACAATTGGGATTTGAGAAAACCCAGCTTCAAATCCCTATTTAATCATAGTATCTTTTTGCTGTCATTCTTTCTTAGCAGAAAGTACTTCACTATTTTTTTTTTCATGGCAACACAGCTAAAAGAAAATGCTACAAATATCATTCACTTAAACTCCCAAAGAAAAGGCAGGATATAGATGCTATTATTAATAGTAACAGCCATAATTATAAATGCTACTTATTAATTGAATTCACCCATTGTGCTATTCATGGCTTATTTTAATTAATGTCTAGTTCACCAAACTATACATTACTTTCTTTAAGCCATTACTTACAAACCACAATAAAAGATTCACACATCATGTAGACCAAAATCAAGCAAATAGCATTGTGGCTAAATGTGGTATATGAACTTCCTCCATTTGTATTTCTGCTCTTAAGCCCTGTCTGAAGTTTATAAGTATTTCCGCAGCCACAGGTTCCACAAGTAATCTGGAACATAATTTGAAAAAATATTAATTCCAGTGTTATAATAATAATAATAAAGTTGGAAGGGATCTTGGAGGTTATCGAGTGTTAATCTGATCAATCCCCCAAATAAGGTCTTTCTTTCTTTCTTTCTTTCTTTCTTTCTTTCTTTCTTTCTTTCTTTCTTTCTTTCTTTCTTTCTTTCTTTCAGAATTGCATTGAAATCAGGGTATGGAAAATACCTTGGCATTAATTCAGATGGGCTTGTAATTGGACGTTCTGATGCAATAGGTGCAAGGGAGCAGTGGGAGCCTGTGTTTCAAGAGGCAAGTATTCTAAAATGTTCACTGTCCTTCTTAATGTATCTTTAAAAAGAGGATGTACTTTGTGTTTGTGAAGAGAATTCAGAGTATCAGATGTGTCAGATAAAGTCACGGTGATTTGCTCTGAGCCTGATTCTGCTGTGCAAGTCTTGGAGTTGACTGAGGCATGGTTTAGCAGAGTTACCTGTGAAGGGCTTGAGCCTATTAGTAGAGAGGACGTGAACAAATCCTCAAAACTATAGGTACAGCCACATGGTTATAGCCTTCCTGGTTCATCAAGGTTCTCGCTCTAGGCAGGGATGAATGTGTCCTTTTTTTTTTTTCAAGGGCAAGTGGAGATCTGCTAGCTTTTAAAGAGACAATGGTATATCATCTCCTCAAGAAACTATCAATAAATCCAACCCTGTAGGACAATTTTTGTCTTGTCTCCAATTTTTCTTTTTTATGGAAAGTTATAGAGAATGTGGTTGGTTTGCAGCTTCAGAAAGCTTTGGAAGAAATGGATTGTCTGGCTCAGGAATTCTGAGAGTTGAAGTCCATAGGTCTTAAAGTTGCCATAGATTCCCAGCCCTGATATATTGGCTGATTACCATCTATAAAACGCTTCATGACGTAAGGACAAACTATTTGATGGACCACCAATATCTGTTTGTGCCCATCCAGTGAAATGTACCTAGGTGAGGGTACTTTAGGTACTTTCTGAGTATCAGTGCCCTGATTAATACTCTGTTGCATTCTCTGTTGCAACAGTTTCTCTTTGCAATAGCATAGCTTGGGAGATTCAAATGGCCCCAATTTTTTTTGGCCTTCCATAAGATCTTGAAATCCTGGTTCTTCCCTCAGAATTAGACCAGGACGTTAGATGGACTGATTTTGTAATAAGTAATGGGAAGATGAATATGATTGTGAGCTCAGATGTATTTTCTCTTTTGTGATCTCACACTTCTGGCTGGTTATCTTTTCATTTATTTATTTATTTATTTATGAGACTTATATACCACTTTAAGTGCAAGCACTCTCTAAGCGGTGTACACCAGTAAGCAATTTACATTGTCCCCAACAATCTGGGTCCTCATTTTACCTACCCCGGAAGGATGGAAGGCTGAGTCAACCTTGAGCCGGTGAGATTTGAACCGCTGACCTGCTGAACACAGTCAGCTAAAGTGGCCTGCAGTACTGCACTCTAACTGCTGCGCCACCTCGGCTCACTAACTGCTGCGCCACCTCTTGTTTTTAATCCTATTTTAGCTACACAGATTTGCATTCTGCAAGTTGGGTAACCATACAAAAACATGTGAACAATAATTAAATTAATGTGTTCAATCCATAGCCTCTTTAGTTACATCAGATCAAATAGCACATGATTGGAAGACTAGCCAAAGAGTCTTGTTCAGGTAGGGAAGATTATAATCGGCTTGATTGACAAACCTCCGTCTCATGAGTCAAACAAGACATCAAGATTCTGTTCTTCGGTAGCCCGTTTATAAGGTATTTTCCTTTTCCCACAACTCCAGGGAAGAGATATTTGCACAAATTGGCAAAGAAGTACTTATATACAAATGCCTTTTACTGTAAGTGAATAATGGAAGCATTATTTATGCTTATCTACTTATCTCTATTTGGGAATAGAAATCAACATCGCAAAAGTGTGGATTCACCTTGGACTAAATGGATGAAATAATATATTCTGTAATAAGAGGACTGTTACTGATTCCAAAATGACACTATTGGAACATTTATTGTAACATATTCTTTGAAGTGGCTGTTTTATCTGACACCTGGAAAAGTGTGTTATTGAAAATAATGTCAACTTGTTGAATGTAAACTTCAGTTTAAATTTGTAATAAAGTTCTAAAATGCTGTGCTGTAACACTAATAAAATGGGGGGGGGAATGGTTATGGACCCAAAATCCATAAAGATGCATACGTGTTCAGGATTAAAAATAACATTAATGGATTTGGAATGAAGAAATAAGCTTTTTTAAATCTTGCATGTGAACTTTAAGTAAATAAACTACTAGTTTGACTTGTTTTTTTCCCTTGCAGGGAAAAATGGCTCTGTTAGCAGCCAACAGCTGTTTTATCAGTTGTAATGAAGAAGGTGATATAGTAGCCAAAAGTAAAACAGCAGGCAATGATGAAATGATAAAGGTAACTCTTGTAATTTGTAAATGTAGGTACTTCTATAAGCAATGTTTGAATAACATAAACAAATGCAGAAACCTGTAGCTTATCACTTAATTCACAAAAATCTCAATTTTCTTCAGAGATGGTCATGGTTACAAGAAATGGTTGGTACACATGTATCCTTTCTGGTATTTTGGCTATAACACACACCATTTCTGATTATCAGTTGCTCTTCAGAAACCCTGATAAGGAAAATTTCTTTTCTCATCTGATTTAGGTTGCCCATTTTAATTGGCTTTAACTTTATTACTTTCTTGAGAGAAAAATAGGATCCTCAGCAATTTTAGCTGAAATAGCTTTAGCTAAAGGGTTTTTTCCCCCTTTATTTAAGATACCCGCTTATATAGCAGAATTGATAGAATCCTATGCCTTGATGAAATCCCGAAAAATTTAAAATCAGAAAATATTCAGGCAGTTGCAAAGCAAAAGGCTCTGTCTGTCCCAGCAACAATGTTTAAGACTTAATGCTGGAAGAACAGTCATACAATCGTGCGCTTAAATTAAATCCTTGCTATCTATTTTCCTTGAATCAGTCTTATACAACCTAGCATATCTTGATGTGTTAGATTATGCAAGTCTTTTTTCTCCAGTGTGCTAAGAGCAATAGGAGCCCAACACTCTTGGGATGTATCAAGTGGAGTAAAAGCTGCTCTGTTTCTAAGGGCCTTATTATGAGATGTTATCAAAGCAGATTCTTCACAGATTGATGCATACTTAGGATTAGTGAACCTGAATAGGAAAACGTGGAGGAAAAATACCGGAAAGGAAGATAAATTTGAAATTGGACTTTTCAGAATCTGTAATTTTCTCTCCTCATTTAGATCAGAACATGTACAGAAAGAGAAGCCAAACAAAAAGATGACATTTCTGAGGAAGATAAAGGAAATGTAAAGCAATGTGAGACCAACTATGTGTATGTATCATAAATTTCTTCACTCTCAGTAAAAAATAAAGATAAGCAGGTTGTATTTTCACTAGTAATAACAGATACTTTCCCTTTGGTGAAAACGGTTCAATAACTCTGGCCTGGGATGTCTGAATAAATGTTATGCTTCAGCTGCTGCTAGGGCTCAAAACTAAACATAGGGCAGATTTGGTTTTGAAGAACAACTTGCTTTCATAGACCAAAACAAAACTTTTGCAGCTAAATGCAAAATAGATATTTTTTACCAACTTATCTTAAGGTTTATCATTGGGGTCTATCCATAAATGGGTGGATTGTTTTAAGCTATTTTACTGTTAAGATGTCTTAAATAGGTTTGTTCTGCACATTGATGCACATATGTGCAACATTCCTCCCCAATACCACATCCCTTTGATTAAATCATGAAACTTGCCTTCTCTGGCATAGGCTGCTAATGTTCCTAGGTAAGAATTGCAGTACGTGTTGTAAGATTTCTTCTTCTGTTCCGGTTTGCATTTAATTCTGCCCTTGTAATGTATAATCTATGCAGTTAGGAGGACAAACAAGTCGATTGACTCTTTACTTGACCCCTGACTTGATTCCAGTTTCCAATTTTTTCTGTGCCAAAGGATGCTTTATAGTCTATAGCTCTTGGAAAAGTTAATCTTTACAGGACTTTTTTTATTCTATTAAAATATTTCTGTACAATGAGAATTCACCCAACTATTCTGATATTTCTTTCCTGCTTTTCAGTGGTCTATATTTTGCCTTCCATCTCTCAGGAGTCAACGACTAAGAATCACCAGTAGAGAGAATATATATGTATCATTCAAGCCAAAGGCATTTGTGTTTTGTTTTCTAGGAAGAAATTTCAAAGTTTTCAAGATCACAAACTCAAAGTAAGCCAAGAAGATAGTAAAATTCTGAAAAAAGCTAGGAAAGAAGGCACTTTCCATGAAGCACTGCTGGACAGGTACTCTTATTTATATACTTATTTATTTATATACTATTATTTTGTTTATCTCTTTTTTTACCATATACAATTCAAAGTGCCAAAATACCAATATTCTTTCCACGTCATAATTTCCCCACCTGTGAGGTGAATTTGGCTGAGAGAGAATGACTGGCCCAAAGTCACCTAGTCAGCTTTCATGCCTAAAGTGGGACGAGAACTCATAGTCTCCTAGTTTCTAACCTGGTTCTTAACAACTAGATCAAATTATTTAAACCAACTAATTAACAATTACAAAGCAATCATTTTCTTAACTACAGGATAGAGAGTCTTGTGTAGCTTTGCCTAAACTAAGTACATATTTGTGCAGCACAAATTTTATACAAAAACATTCTACATACAAATAGAAGAGTAAATATATATATTTTTCTGCTTAATTTATATTTATTAAATTTATATCACTATCTTAAATACAATAATCCTCCCAATAAAAATATTCAAAACAATAAAATAATCATGGCTCTTATAAACAAAGCAGCGCAATTTGTGTTCCACCTGAAATTTGCAATCAATACATTGGAAGCATTTAAGATTACTCATCTTGGGTGGCAGTGAGTTTGACATTATGATAAAATAAAAAGTAAAAAGAGAAAGAAAAGCATTATACAAAAAGCATTCAGATAGCTACTCTATTTCTTCCTTTTTCTCTGGGTGTATGCTAAGCTTACTTAAACATTATTATTAAGTTTAAAAATTCAAATTTATAAAATTGGCAACAATTACAGACCTTGTGTGAGAAAACTGAACAGATGGTAGTTAAACCTTTTTGGGTGGGAGAAATAAATCTTTTTTTTTTTTTTAAGGGAAGTAATTCTTTGTGTTTAGGGGCCTGGAAAAGGTCAATTACCGACACAAGGCTAGGAAAAAACTATCTGCCTGCTGTCCCGGGGAAAAGTCACAAGTTCACCGCCTAAGCTTAACTCCATCAGTGAAGGTCAATTGGCACTATCACAATACAAATTTGGGTGGGAACTCCTGTCAGTGACCTGCAATTAGCCAAAGTGGCACTTCTCAATTTGTGAGCCCAGATTTTATGATGATTAAACTTACTGTTACCATTGGTTGCACAATCAGCCAGATGTTTAGATTGGATTAGGCATTTTTGTCTGCCCAATCAAGTCGTTCCTAAGTATCTGAGATAAGCTGATGATTAATAATATTAAATAATAATATTAAATATATATTACTGTCATTATTTAGACTCCAGGGGTCCTTGGTGCTTTCTGAGCTTGCTTGTTTTCTTGCAGACGATTCATTACCCTAACTAGGTAACATCAGTGCTTTAGACTTAATTTTATGTGCACTCAGTTTTTTGCTGTGCATGAGAGTTTCAATTTTTTGTATGAGAGCATAAGGTTAGGATAGGCACCTAATTTTTTTGATAGTCATTTATATAAAGACCTTCTTGCTCTCTCTTTACCAATACCTCCTTCCATCACTGCTGTTTCTGCATGAAAGTGCAGACAGTCAAAGAGGAATTCTTGCAGACTGCTTTTATAGTTCAAAGGGAAAAAAATGGTGCTTGTATGTCAGTTATATATGTCATTTTGAGAAGATTTCCAAACATTTTAAACACGTGTAGCCAATAATTATATTCAAAATTTTGTCCTATCAAAGAACTCTTATTAAGTATCTGATAACTGCTGTCCAAATATGATGGAATTTGTCCTTAGTGTAGAGTTTTTCATCCATCATTTCTCACAGTACCCACTGATTCAGCTGAAGATGGCAGGGTTCTTTTGCATTTTACTTTTTGCAATAATAAAATTAGCAGCTAATAGCAAGAATTCAATTTATATGCACTAAGAAACATATAGATACAGGTAGTCCTTGACTTACAACCACAACTGAGCTCAAAATTTCTGTTGCTAAGCAATAAAGTTAAATGAATTTTGCCACATTTTACAACCTTTCTTGCCACAGTTCTTAAGTGAATCACTGCAGTTGTTAAGTTAGTAACACGGTTGTTAAGTGAATCAGGCTTCCCCATTGACTTGGTTGTCAGAAAGTTGCAAAAGATGACCATATGATTCCGGGACACTGCAACCATCATAAATAAGAGTCAGTTGCCAAGTATCTGAATTTTGATCCCGTGGCCATGGATATGCTGCAACAGTCATAAGTATAAAAAACAGTCATGTCACTTTTTTCACTGCCGTTATAACTTTGAATGGTCACTGAATGCACTGTTGTAAGTTGAGGACTATTTGTAGTGAACCAATTAGAGGATTCATTGTGGGAGTTGACAGTTGGGTTTTCCTCTTCAGTAATTTTCAAACAAAAGCATTGACTAATGGTGTTTCTCTAAAAACAATATATACTATCATGTTTACATCTTCATTTGCATAATCTAAAAAGTTTGCCATGCCAATTTTTAAACATTACGATTTTAAATGTTTTGATCACAATGTTTCACAAAATAAATATTTTTTAGTATAAAGCAGGCTGTTTCAAGTATTTTTGGAAGCCTGACAAGCTCAAAACTACTGTCAAAAATCCCACAACAGTCCAATTTGCTTATGTTGCTAGATTTCACATTTGATACATTTCAGAATGGTACATCTGGCAGACTCCTACTTACATCAATGACAAATGATGTAGCTTTAGTAGAAATCATTCCCATTGATTCTGCTTAAATCCCAATCGCATTATGTGAAGCATTCTAATCCATCCTTTTCTTCCTTTCTTTTTTAGGAGATCAAAACTGAAAGCTGATAGATATTGCAAATAATCAGAACTGCAATGCACTTTTTTTCTTCCCTTAATTAGCAGCTTTGTGTCTGTGTTTATGTGTGTGAATTTTTTAAAATAAAACATATTTGTCAAAGTAAATCTCAATTATTCTAAGATCTTGTTATTTCTTTAGGAAGTAAGTCCTTGTGTTAATATATTTAATATCTTCATGTTTGTAATTGGCATTACATTATAATTGTTGCAAGATTATCAAAAAATAAGGACAAATATGCACAAAAGCTGCAAATCTAATACATAGTACAACAAATGATTCTGTATGGCTTAAAAAGAGTCAAAGTACATGTAAAATTAAGCCCAATGCTATTAATGTCATTGACACCTTTTACAAGCCAAGTAAAATTGTTCTAAAGCCTCTTCCAAATATTATAGGAAGGTAATATTCCCATTTTAATATTAAGTCCAAAATCAGAGCTCTACTACAAAAGGAGAATATGCTGTTGATGTTGAAGGTATGCAGGATGTTCCAATAAGATTGAAGACACAGGTACTCCTTGATTTACAATAGTTCATTTAATTTGGATGCTTGACAACTGGTTCATATTTATGACCATTGCAGTATCCTGGAGGTCATGTGATTACCTTTTGTGAACTTCTGACAAGCAAAGTCAATAGGGAAGGAAATCACTTAACAACCATGTTATTAACTTATCAACTGCAGTGATTCACTTAACAACTGTGACAAGAAAATCAAACTGGGGCAGAATTCACTTAACTATCTTAGCAACAGAAATTTTGAGGTCAATTGTCATAAGTCGACGACTACCTGTACAGGATATATTATTCAATAGTAGGTGGTCCACAGCTAACATACTTAAGCAATGTAAGCTGTCATGTATCAAACTAAACATTTTGGATAGGGCTTAAAAGGTAGATGGCATTTCACTGTTTATATGGCATTCCAAGAAGTGGAATGTATTTTGACCATTACCAGAACAGCTGTAATTGAGTCAGTTACAGTTTCCAGAATTCTTCAAGGGCTGGTCCATTAAAAGTATTTAAATTTATATTGTAGATGTTTGATTGCAGAATAATAATAATAATAATAATAAACACCATTGGCATTGACAAATTTGCTATTAGTCAATTGCAAAAGGCGGCCTTATTAGGAACTGCTTCCATCCTGCGACGATGCCTGTAATACCATCAAACATCCACATCTGCCTATCCCAGGTCCTTGGTAAGGACTCGATAGGTAGACAAAATGCCAAATCCAGTCTGAACATCTGGCTGACTGTGCGATGATTGATAATAATAATAATATAGGTGGGCATGGAATGCTGCAAGTACATCAGATGGTTGAAGAAGAAGAAGTGGATTTGGAAGAATATCTGAAGGACAGTGATGAAGATGCACTGAAATTAGTATATCAGGAAGGCTTACTGACTACTGGAGAAACCAAACTGGCCTACAAGAAAGACCAAATTAAGAACAGAATAGAGGCATGGGAAGACAAAGCACTACATGGCCAGTACATTAAAAAAAAATAGCTGGGAAAGCAGATAATAACACGGCTAACACATAATAAAATGGCTAAGAGCAGGAAAATTGAAGAAAGAGACTGAGGGACTAATTCTGGATGCACAAGACCAAGCCTTAAGGACAAATGCATACAAAGTCAAAATTGAGAAGACAGCAACAGACAGTAAGTACCGCCTATGCAAAGAAGCTGAAGAAACTGGACCACCTGGTAAGCTGCTGCAAGAAGATCACACAGACTGACTACAAGCAGCGGCATGACAAAATAGCAACAATGGTGCATTGGAAGATCTGCAAGAAATATCATTTGCCTGTAAGCAAGAACTGGTAGGATCATAAAATAAGAGAAAGTCATAGAAAATGAAAAAATTAAACTGCTCTGGGACTTCAGAATTCAAACAGACAAGCACCTGCAATATAACACCCCAGACTTAACAATTGTCAATAAGAAAGACAAAAAAGTCTGGATAGTGGACGTGGCAGTGCCTGGAGACAGCAGAATAGACGAGAAAGAACTGGAGAAGATAACAAAATACAAAGACCTACAAATAGAAATAGAAAGACTGTGGCAAAGGCAAGCAAGGGTAGTACCAATCGTAATAGGCGCCTTGGGTGCAATCCCAAAACAACTGGAGCACCACTTGAACACCATTGGCACTGAAAAATTCACCATTAGTCAATTACAAAAGGCGGCCTTACTAGGAACTGCTTCCATCCTGCGACGATATCTGTAATACCATCAAACATCCACATCTGCCTATCCCAGGTCCTTCGTAAGGACTCGATAGGTAGACAAAATGCCAAATTCAGTCTGAACATCTGGCTGACTATGCGATGATTGTCTTCTTGCAAGTCTCAACCAACTGTTTGTTGCGTTACGCTGGCATTGAAGGCAAGTGGACGGAGCAAGCAGGGCTCACTCCCAACATCTAGCTTGGGACCCGGGACAGCTCCTTTGGACTAACAGACTGCCTTTTTGTAGAAGCCATGATGACACTGTGTACATCATGATAATGTCATAATCTTAGGACATGCAATTCTGTCCTGGGCAGAACTACATCCTCTTCTCCAGAGCTGCTACTCTAATAACTACATATGGCTTTTTATGTTTGTACCTTTGATTCATTGTTGACTCCTGTGTTTGGTAAGTCCCTGCAGTTTTCTTGGCAAAATTTCAGTAGTTGTTTGCTATTGCCTGCATCCTATGGCTAAAAAAGAATGATTAACCCAAAGTTACCCAGCCTGCTTTGTGCTTAAAGAAGAAGGGCTCCTGGTTTATAGCCTGGTGCCATTAACTACTACACCAAACTGGTTCTCATAATTGTCTATGATACTGCAACTTATAAGGTTGCATTAAAAGGTAAATCATACAGAAATAGTTTTGACAGCAGGCAGCTTCACCTGCCCATGCATGATTGATCTTATTACAACTATGTAACTCTTAGAGCTCAAATATATAAGAGATACTGGGACACATAAACAAGCACATATTTTAGCCCAGCATTCACTATCTTTTTTATATTATATTTCTATTATGTCAAAAGCTTATTTATGTGGAAATACATTAGGGGAGTTTTACCACTAGTGTTAGTATATAGTTATACTAACACTATAGTTAGTCAGTGATGGCGAACCTTTTAGAGACTGAGTGCCCAAAAACTGGCCCCACCCTCCCATCCCCTGGCCCGCCTGTCCTGTCCGTAGGGCCACTCACCGCCTCCAGGGCCCACCACAGATCGTCCAGATAGCCCAGCAGCACTATGGTGGTCACGCCCTCCGCCCGCCCTGCAGCATCAACTGTGCACAATGGGGTATGAAGACAGAGTCTTATCTACACTGCCTGGCTGCCATGTCCTTGGCTGCACTGCTACGCATGGGCCACTCTCAGGGGCGACTTTCCTTCAGGGGGGCTGCTGGAGAGGAGGAGGTTGCAGGGGGAGGCGAGGCCGGGGCAACGGCATGTGTGCCCACAGAGAGGGCTCTGACTGCCGCCTCTGGCACCTGTGCCATAGGTTCACCACCACTGGTATATGTGATCTGTATGGCATAAAATGCCTATCAAATTTTACCATTATTTTACCAGAAACATTCCGTTCAAGCAAATCCTGACATTTTTGGAAAGTTTGTATTTCTGCTTTCAAGCTTTACTGTCTTATATTTTCCCACATTTTTAGATTCCTCCCCTTTTTAAATCTAATATTTCAGAAGAACATTAGGAGGTTATACAAAATATGTACATAATGGCAAAACTTGTATATCTTGGGTCACTTTCCCCAGTAATAAATCCCACTGAACAAAGAGGTGATTTTGGCTGGGTAAAGAAACATAAACTATACTATTCATCAGTAAAATAGCATACAAGGAAATTATCTTCCCAAACATGCTAGAGAGTGAATTGCACAATTTATGAAAAGAATAAAACAGAATGAGCTTCAAGATAAGCCAGTTTCCAAAATGTGCATTTCTCGTGCTGTAAAAATTAGCCACAGTCCTAACCTATAGTAGTTATAAAAAAAAGAATAGTGCAATGTTGCTGCTTACAAAAGAGTGAATACAAATTGTCATTCCAGGTGATATTTATCCTGTGAGAATCTCAGTTTAGATTGAGAACCAATCTGGTCACTATCTCCTTTTGGCAGGAGAGGAGGATATAGCTCTTTTGGAATTATAAAATTGGTATTTAAGTTTCTATCTTTGAATTTAAACGAATGTCTATCATTTTCATCCATATCTGTTCCACCCTTTCACCTTTAGTCATTTTGAACGTTTGCCCAATTTGTTACTGATACCTTCATTTTTCTAATTATGAACTAGGCATTTTCTTTGGAGAATGCTTGAGGAAGAAATCTTTTGCCTTGATCTTTTCTTCATAAACATGTTTGCCTTGAACCATGAGATGGACACAGATCAATTTTATAATAAAGAATTAGAGAAGGTAACAAAATACACAGACCTACAAATAGAAATAAAACAATTGTGGCAAAAAAAAGCAAAGGCAGTACCAATAGTATTAGACACCTTGGGTGCAATTCCAAAACAGCTGGTGTACCATTTGAACACAGCACATCAGCATTGACAAAATCATGACTGGTCAATTGTAAAAGGCGGCTTTACTCAGAACAGTTTACATCCTGCAACAATATCTTAAACACCATCAAATATCCATATCTGCCTAGGTTCTTGGGAAGGACTTGATAGATAGCCAAAAATGCCAAATCTGGTTTAAACATCTGACTGTGCAAAGAACCATAATAACATCCTATTTCATTTTATCTCTTTATAGTCAATGAATACCACCTACATATAGGAGTTGGCTAATGTCCATCCACACCCTCCTTTGGCAATCTAAGGAGTGCATTCATAGAAAATCCAATTTCTTGTCACTATATTTTTCACTACATAATACTTATGACAGAACAGATGGGTGTAGCAAGGTGGCTTTCATTTTTTTAATATATTGTTTTGGTGACCTAGTTTGTCTGTTGAGCAAACAATAGTCTTGAATGTATTGGACAGCTTTTTTCTTTTTTTTAACAAATCTATGTTTATAATTAAATACGGGAAAGTAACATTAAGGATATTCATTGTTCTCTCTTCTGATATTTTCA